TGTTCCAAAGATCATACTATAAGGAAAAGGTTGTTGCCCATTACTTCTGGATTGTTACTCCCTCGTTCCAACCTATAGCAGCTACAAATGAAGTTACTGGAGTTCATGTTCATGAGAGACATATTGAGTTATGAAGTGTGATGACAAATTGTTAGGACGAATAAGCTTTTTCTTAAATTCTCTAAAAATTTAAGAAATTGGCACTTCTAGACTTGTAAAAATATAGATAAACATACCAGGGTTCAGTTATTTTTTTTCCTAATATGTACCTCTTTAAAATATAGTCTCTCTTTCTGATACTTTTCTTACATCAAGTATAAAAAAAATTTGGGTTCCATTATAATTTGATCAAGTATTTTCAAAAATATTATTAAAAATATAAACCCAGCTCCACTGATCTTTTTCTCAACAGTATACTCTCTATATAATAGAAGTTTAACTAAATTTAAGCAAGAATGGTTTTCCATATATACAATACATCATGCAGCATGGCAAATACTGGTATAATCATTTATAGTCATGATTAATATCAAATGTAATCAGTTATAATCATGATATAATGAAATGTAATAATTTGTAATCATATTTATAATCAATGTAATCATTTATAATCATGGCAAATATAAACATAGATTTCCAAGGGAGCCCAAAAGTTATAAACATTGTAAATTAGCAGATGCACAAAAACAGAGAAATTAGAAACCTAATAGTCCTTTTCCTTTCTTTATGTTTGGTATTTTAATAGTTAAATTTATTTTTTATCTATTTTTTTCCTTTATCAACATGTTCATAAAACATTAACAATACAATGGATACCTTAACATTAATTAATCGGCTGAAGACCAAAACCTTTATTGCACAACACATATTTTGATGCAATCGGCATACTTTCAGATGTATTCAATTGTGGATAATAAAAAAACACACCAAAAATGATCCTGACATCCAAAATTGTAATTAACATTGTTATAATAACTCTTTTTTATCCTCAATAGTTTAACTTATCTAAAGATTAAATTGTTAATAATCTTCAATTAATACTGCACAAATATCACTGTATCAAAACAATACAATGTATTAACAATACTTTTAAAAATAATAATGCAGAAAAAATGGAGAACCCCTGTGATAGCAAATTAAAATTTGATTATGAAAAGCAAAATATTATTTCCTATACAACCCAAACTTCAGTATAATTTATTTTATTTAAGAAGAAGGGGTCATACAGAATAATGTATCAGAGGTTCTTGTCTTGAACTGTTAATTGATGGATAAATCTTACAAAATAGCATTAGCCCTTCCTTTCAGAAACTAACATCAAATAGGTGAAAAATATCACCCCATCATAACAAAAATATGTATAGGCACATAGTTAATTTTACTATAATGCAAATTCACAAGTACTTGTTTATCACTATTTGCTTATAACATCACATACAGTATGTAAATGACTCATCTCAGATCCATAACAACAGAGGGATTTTTTTGCACTATTCCAAAGACAGATACGGTATTTTCAGTAGTATCTGCTCTCTGGTACCAGTCAGAGGAATGACTTTAATTGAAAATTTGTGAATTTGGGGGAGGGGTAGGTATTAATCAAATATTGTATCAAAAACTTTTCCTTATCTTTCTGAAATAAGAATGCTGCACAAATCACTTGTTTAATATTTATCTGCAGCACTTCTGTCCGAAATGTGAAAACAAATATATATTTGGTCTCTGTTTGCCTCCTATTCTTGCATGAGAAAGCAATCCAGGAAGGCTTTTACCATCTACATTTCTTAGTTATAAGCCCACAGTACTTTCAGTACAATCCAGTATTTTCCAGATGTGTCATACTTTAGCATCTGTAACCCAAAGCGTAATACATTAGCTCAGGAGTGGGTCCTACTTACCTTTACTACCAGTTCGCAATGGGGCCGCGTGTGCGCGCTTGCTTGGCTTGCGCGCAAGTGCAGAAGCGTTTTGATGACGTTGGGGTCGGTGGGCGGAGCCTCCCGCCGGTTTTACTATCAATTCTATAGAACAGGTGCAAACTGGGGGCAACCCACCACTGGGTTAGCTGTAGTTCATCATATCTGGAGAGTATACCAGATTGGGGAATATTGTTGAGATGAGACTCTGGGTTGCTGAATCCCTAAAGAATCATCTAAGCTTTAGACTAGTGTTTCTCAACTTCATTAACTTTAAGATGTGTGGACCTCAATTCCCAGCATTGCTGGCTGGGGAATTCTGGGAGTTGAAGTCCATACATACATCTTAAATTGAGTTGAGTTGAGAAACACTGCTTTAGATTACATTAATTCTTCAATTTTTTAGTTAATGGATATCTACAGAGGAAAAACAGCTTGACACTATGCTTGCTTGCAATAGTACTAATATAGGTAGGCCTCGACGTACAACAGTTCATTTAGTGACCAAAGTTACAACAGCACTGAAAAAAGTGACTTAAGACATTTTTCACACTTAGGACCGTTGCAGCATCCCCATGATCAAAATTCAGATGCTTGGCAAATGATTCATATTTATGAAGGTTGCAGTTTCCCGGGGAGTTTCCTCGGGGTCATGTGATCACCTTTTGTCAACCTTCTGACAAGCAAAGTCAACGAGGAATCCAGATTCACTTAACAACTGTGTTACTCACTTAACAAATGCAGTGATTCACTTAACAACTGTGGCAAGAAAAGTCGTAAAATGGGGCGAACTCACTTAACAAATGTTTCACTTTGCAACATAAATTTTGGGCTCAATTGTGGTCATAACTCAAGGACTACCTGTCTTCAAAGTCAGGGCTAATGGTAAGGTAATCATAGTGGAAAAGAGTGATAGTAAGAGACTTGTGAAGTTGAGGGAAGACGACTCTCTGTAATAATCAGTAGTTTACATTGTGATCCCTGATGGTTGTCTATGTAACGTAAGTATGTGAAAGGCTGTAAAAGTATCTGCAGGAGTTAACTAGGAGGTTGGTTTACATCTTGTCACTTACCAACTGAGCACCCTATCCCTAGTCCATGTTAATCTTGGGAATTAAAAAGTTGCCTATTCTTATCTTTATAAAGAAAATAGCAAATATAATCCAAGGTTATTTTTTTATACTATGGCCTGTATATGAAATTTTCTGGAAACCCTGCTGTACAGCAATAAGGGGGTTATAAACTTAGAGGCAATTTATCACATGGATTAGACAAGTACACAAATCAGGTATGAGTTCAGAGTGAACTATGATAAATGACTCAAACAGGCCTGGTGAAGTCACTGCAAGCACGCATCACATCAGTGTGGACTGAAGCAAGCAATACCCATTATGTGAAGTGAACCATATCTCATATTATTTTCTGAAATAGGTGTACTTTAACATATTTACAAAGCGTGGGTAGTATCAGGACACCAATGCAATTGTTTTAAACCGTTCTCTTTTTTTCTTAATTTCCAGTCCATATACGTCAATATCGGTTGCCTCTTTCATATGGTATGTTGATGCAACTGTTATCTTTCCAGATGTCCTGCTTTTTTTCCTCATTCATGTAAACAAATCCAATCTGGTTTTATGTTCCCTATGTCTGCTTGGTCTGTCTCCCTCTGAACCTGTGTATATACATAGAATAAGTCCCACTGAAGATAGTGAGCCTTACTTCCCAACAGACGTGCATAGCATCTTCTGCTAGCATCAAAAATGATTGCATGTTTAACAATCATAATTTTAATACACTTGCATAGTTTAATATTTTGAAACACCAATTTAAAAAGTTACTTGAAACAGTTAAATAATGGATATATTTTTCTGGATATTAAGCATTGTGCTTTGCTTAATTTAAGGCAAAGATATAACAAGAGATTTTCAGGGACCTAGTTATGATGTTTAAAATTAAATGATGCGCCAATTACTGAGAATTTCCAGGCTGATGGAATGGTTCTGGCAGGGCCAAGGAGATCCTATATATATTGTGATGGTGTGTAAGCTACCTGAAATTCAAAAGGAAGCAGCTTTTTTTAGAATGGAGATAATGAAGATCAACGGCTCTTGTTGCATTTCTTGTTGCAAATGCAGCTAATTAGGGATTAAAAGGAAAACAGCAAGAAATCAGTTCGAGCCAAGAACCAGCTGGAAATCAAAAGTATGTGACTTCCAGAGGAGAACTCCGTGAAGGGTGAGCAAGGACGCTGGCACTACAATAAACTTTACTGCAGCTCAACCAGCACTGAAAAACACTCAAGACAAAAATACCCAGGAGACATGCCGGCTAGTATTTTTATTTTTAAGGGTTTTTTTTAAAAAATTTCCCGTTCCAGCACTGAATGCAGCTTTAGACTCTTACTTCTGCAGTTAAAAAAAAAAAAAAAATCACCTGTTGAATTTCTAGCTGTCAGACAGACGAGCAGTAAAAAGGCACGTCAAACGGGACAGAAAAAAAAAAAAAAGAAACAGCAAAACCCAGTTTATGCATTTGGGAGATGGAATCCAATTGAATCGCGACATTAATTTCCCGTGGACCTCCCGGGCTCCGCTCTTAGGCCCGGATCGCATCTAATGTATTCCTTGGAAAAATACAGAGTTGTTGTTGTTGTTTTTAGTATGAAAAGCTTGTCTTTTTCCGGGAGCAGTCTCGCTCCCCTCCCACCCCTACCTGAGCGGGCGGGCGTCCCACACTGAGGCTAACCCAGAATAACCCCACACATCTGAAGAAGTGGACTCTAAACCACTATATGCTATAAACCACCATGTGGGTCGTGTGAAGCCGACACTCCCGAGACGCTTTGACATTCCCGCCTGCCTCGCTCGGTTAACATTTTACTTGCAGCGACAGCGCCGTCGGCCTCGCTTTTGCAAACGCATCGAGCGCAAAAGGGAATTCGGAGAAGAGGGATTTTTGCACACTCGAGAGGTGGAAAAAAAAAAAAAATACAAAGCCCCTCTCCTCAAGGGGGCGGAGCTGGGGCACCGAAGGGGCGGAGCTTTCCCGCCACGCCTCCCCGTGGCTGGTCTTTAACATTTGGAGCTCATTTCTCCTCCCCCGCCTGCTACCCCGCCACCCACCGCTTTGGTCTTCAATTAGCCGCCGACGGTGGAGCAGGGAAGGCGCGCAAGGCTGCAGGCTGCGAGGATGGGGAGGAGCCATGTAAGCAAAACGTGCGGGGCTTATTTATTTTTCTTTAAATAAATAAATAAATAAAAATAAATAAAAAGACCGCAAGCCGCTTCTCCCCACCGAGCTGGGTTCGGCTCTCAGGGTTGTGGGATAGCTTTGGGGGGGGGGGGGCGCACCCGCTCTATGTGGGACGCCAGGGAAATTAACCTGAGATGGAATATTTCCACAGACAGGCAGACAGGCGCACCCGGGGAGCCGTCTGTCTGCGCACACGCGCTGAGTCTGTTTGTGTAATACATATATAGATATATATATATACTGTAATGCTGGGGCAAGAGTGTGGCGTCTTGAACTCTTTTGCACACTGCCCCCCCCTCCTCAGGTTTAACCCCTTCCCCTCTGCAGTCAAACTGTTGCACGCGCGTCGAGGAAGCGATTTGGAAGGTCTTTTAAGTTTAAAGGACTCACTTCTGATAGAGAATGCCCTGGAGGATTTTGTAAATATGCGTAGTAGGGGGAATTGGTCGCCGTCGTCGTCGTCATCATCATCATCATCAGATTTTTATTTATTTTTTAATAGGGAGAGAAACTCAACCTGATTTGTGTAGTTCAGGGTTTGTTTGTTTTTTAATGTTTCATAGGCTGGAGAGGAAAGGGGGGGGAGGGTGGAATGCTAAAATGCAGCCGATTGAATAAAAAGGACGCCGATAAAGCTTGCAGGAGTCTATAAACTAGGGTGGGCGGGGGTGGGTGGGAATCTGAATTACTACCCAGAGGGGTCTCGGAGAAGGGACTTGGTGCGGAGAAAAGCTTCGTATTTCTGCGTAAGCCTCGGTTGCAGCCTGGAGCTGCGAAAAGATAACCTTTCCCTTCACTTAGTCTCTTAGCAGGCAGGGGAGACGCTAAAGCATCTCTTCCCCCTTTTTGAGAAAGCTTTCCTTGTTGTTGTTTTTTGGGGGGGAGGTGTGTTAGGAAAGGAAAGCAAGCAAAGCTGCCTATAAAAGACCCAGCTGCAGCTTGGGAGGGGGGGGGAGAGAGAAGATGGGGAGGCTGTCTGTTTCTCTTTTCTATCTCCAGCCAGAATTCCCTCTCCTCCCCCCTTTCTTCTGGAGGAGGAGATAGGAAGAGAAGAGACAGATGTCTAGGTCTTTTTCGTTTGGCCGATCCTGCTTGAAGTGATCACTGCAAGGGCAAGGCAAAAGAACAGGGAGCCTGGGGTGGCTGAGCATTGCGGGTCAACCCAAAAGGGGGAGCATTGTGTGTTTGTCCCTTAGGCTGGGGAGGGACAGGGCTTTTGTTTCAGAAACCTCACCCCCCCCTCGGTTTGCATCTTCTTTTTTTGGAAAACGTAGCTTAGGTTGCTAGAGAGTGGTGATGATTGCAGAACATCTGATTATGCAAGTTGGTCCATGACAATATGCATGCATGTAGACAAGTAACTATATTCTGGCCACATCCTTAGTAATAGCCATAGCCTGCCTGTTCCTGGGACTGCTGGTGAGGGAGATTTGAGGTATCTTTGTAAGCAAGAGAATATTCCTCATTCCTGTGCCCCTCTGGCTCCCAAATATGGGCATATCCTGGCTGAAAAGGCCATTCAGATTGCCTAATTTGTTGGTTGCTGCTGCTGCTGCTGCTGCTGCTGTCTAACCCTGGCTTCCTGTAATACACTGCAGGCAGAACAAAGGTCTGTCACAACTGTGCTTCATGCTTGTCGCCTCCTGTCTGCAAGCAGCTGAATGTTTCCTGCTCGGTATCAGGCAGAAAGGAATGGATGAGACACAATGAGAGATTCAGGTAATGCCACAAAAAATACGTTCGATATGTGTTGATGTGTGAAAGCTGCTGTCGCTGGAGCATTGTCTGTGCATGGCCACTTTGTTGAGCTCTGTTTTCTGTCTGGTTGCTTGATTTTTTTTTTTTTTTAAGTGAGAAGTGCTGAGCCCTGGAGTTGATTTACACACTGATTCAAAAGCAAATGAAACTGAAGTAGAAACTAGTTGGTTGTTCATTTTAAATCCCTGCCGAAGGAGGTAGATGTTTGATCATTCGGAGAACAATGTTGGACTGCTATAATTTTTGAGGAAAATTTTTGAAGAATAATTTTTGAAATGATTTTGAAAATAATTTGGGGACAATAACTAAGAAAAAGCATCTTTTGTACCAGGATTCATCTGTTTATAACAACCAATTTTGGTTACTATTACAGACTGATTAAAAAAAACCAGATTATTAGGAAAACAAGTAGGGATAAAATGTCAAGTGTTCACAATAGCTGCAGTATGTGGATCTAATATGCAATTCAGTGACTTTGGAAGCTATTCACCATTTGGAAAATGTTTGAAAACTGGTAAAAGATACGAACGCAGTGGTTTACAGTTGCTGAGGTTGTAGAGATGGAGAACATAAGGGGTGTGTTTAATTAATTTTGTGGCAGAGGATAGGGGTGTGTGTGTGTGTGTATGTGTGTGTGTATATATATATATATATATATATATATATATATATATATATATATATATAGTCTTTTCATTGTCTATTAAGCTGTTAAGTTTTTTTCACTCACAAGTTTCTGTTTCATTGAATCTACAAACCATGGTCTCTTATTTTGTCCTTGTCCTCTTTCAAAGTGACACTTCTGTATGACAGAATTTTAGTCATTAAACAGAAAAAGGTACTCCAAAAAATTCGCTTTTTTTAAAAAATTCAAGTGTGCCAACTATATGCTATCTCTCTCTCCCTCCCCCTCCCCCCCATCTTTAAACTCCGGTGAGATAATAGGCTTGCCCGAAGAACCTTGAGAGAATAAAAAATAACATACTACTTTGATCAAATCTGTCACTGATTTCATTTAAGTGTTGAGCTTGTCATTGAGGATATACGTAGGATGACTTTGTTTTGGTTTCTTTAATTATTGTTGTGCAATGAGAACCTTTCTAGGAAAAGAATGTTCTGAAACTTGTTTATAAGACTATTATTCTTAACTCTCTCTAGAACATGAACTAATATGAAACAAAATAGCAACAAAAAAAGGGGGGGGGGCTCCTTTCCTGTCTTGTACCTTCATTTACAATATTTTTTTAAAAAACTCAGGGGATTGCTCAGCTAAGTGGATAATTTGTAACAGCTGCTGCTTTTCCAAGGTGACATTTCTACAGCTGTCAAGTAAAGCCAAAAGAGAGAAAACTTTGGGTACAATCTGTCAACTATTGCTCCTACCCTGCTAGTATTAAAGTGCATAAGGCTCACCTAAGAAATCCTTGTGGTTCATTGGAAAATGACTTAAAATGGGAATTTATTTGGGTAATGCTGGAAGAAAATTACACAGATTACTTGCTATATGCTCATTAAAAAGTGTGAGAGATTAGCGCACAAGCCCCATATTTAGAAAAAAACCACTTTGTTCATGTTAACATTCTTAGAATGTTGTGAATGCAACTTAAAAAAAAAAAACGTACCAACAAAAGTCAACAATTTGATTTAGATTTGTTGTATCTCTATTTCTGGACACTCCTTTATTTGGAAGTTATCCATAGAACTCTTTCATAAAATGCATTCATGTAATGTATAAACGGCTTTGCTAATTCTGATGAAGTTGATACCTGATCTGTGTTTTGTCTTTAAGTCTTGTGCGGTTCTTCCATTTCAAGTTAATAAAATGAACTTTAATAGGATTAAAGGATATCAAGATAAATAACTTAGCAAGCTCCCTAAAGCTAATAAAGATTAGGTTCTCGTCAATGCCTGGAAGAAAACAGCGATAAACTTTTTTCAGGATATACAGTATATGTGCAAGATTTAGTGCGGACATGTTTTCATATATTAAATTATGAAGTTTTGCACATAATGCTAAACCATGGCTTAGTTTCATGTGGGTGCCCTTACCATTCTTTTCCCTCTCTTTTTGTGGTGTGGCCAGAAAGCAATTAAGACTTGTAACCCTAAACGACGTATAAGTTATTTAAAATGAAAAAGGATCTCACAGTTTGTGAAAACAAGCCGACTTAAACTGTAATTTATAGTTTGTCTAAATGCCAATATTATGCCAGACTGCATTTGTATGTCATAATAAGAATAAGAATTCATATAAGAATAAACAGGCTTTGTGTTAGGAATCATTAGAAAATTTGTGTGTGACCACACTGGGAATACTGAATTGAGTTCAAAAATTGTTCTGTTTCAGAAAAAGATACAGAACAGGTTCAGAAAGTAATAGTCAAAATAATAAACTTCCCTTAGAGTAATGGTTTCAACATTTGGAACTTTTAAGCTTATAAGAAAGGTGATTAATGGAAGACATAATCATTGTTTATGGTATAGAGAAATTGGATAGAAATACATTTCTTCCTCTCTTATAATTCCACTGATTATCCAATGAAGCACATTGATAAGTGACTGGTAACTCATGACATACAGAAGGTTATGGGTTCATTACTTCAAGATAATCAATTTCAAAATGGCATTTGGCTGAGTCCTTCATGAATTTGTCTATTATTTGTCTATTATACTGGATCTACCCAGTCATGGACTCTGACTGGGTAGATGCAGGCGGGGTGATGGAGACAGGTCTTGAGAGTGTTATCTGGGAGGAGTTTGATACAGTGACCCCTGAAGACGTGGACAGGATTCTGGGTAGACTTAGCGCAGCCACATGTTTATTGAACCCGTATCCCTCCTGGTTGGTTCTGGCTTCCCGGGAGGTTACACAAGGCTGGCTCCAAAGGATTGTCAACGCTTCTTTGAGAGAAGGTTACTTTCCTGCCGCCTTGAAAGAGGCAGTGGTGAGGCCCCTCCTTAAGAAGCCCTCCTTGGACCCGGCTGTTTTAGTAAATTCTCGTCAAGTCTCCAACCTCCGCTTGGTGGCGAAGGTTGTTGAGAATGTGGTAGTGCGACAGTTTCCCCAGTACCTGGATGAAGCGGTCTATCTCGATCCGTTTCAGTTGGGCTTCAGACCTAGGCATAGCACGGAAACGGCATTGGTCGCATTGGTTGATGATCTCTGGAGGGCTCGGGACAGAGGTTGTTCCTCTGACCTGGTCCTATTAGATTTCTCAGCGGCTTTTGATACCATCGACTATGGTATCATGCTGCGCCAGTTGGAGGGGTTAGGGGTGGGGGGCACCGTGTTACGGTGGTTCTCCTCCTTCCTCTCTAACCGGTCGCAGTTTGTGTTGACGGGGGGCCAGAGGTCGACCCCAAGGCGCCTTGTATGTGGGGTGCCTCAGGGGTTAGTCCTCTCGCCCCTTCTGTTCAACATTTATGTGAAGCCACTGGTGAGATCATCCGTGGTTTCAGGGTGAAGTATCATCAGTACACTGATGACACTCAGCTGTACATCTCGACCCCGGACCACCCCAATGATGCCCTTGACGTGATGTCCTGGTGTCTGGAGGCTGTACGGATCTGGATGGGGAGAAACAGGCTCAAGGGGACCTCCTATCAGGTTCGCCTGATCCGTCAGTTGCGTCCCTTTCTGGATCGGGACTCCTTGCGCATGGTCACTCATGCTCTCGTCACTTCCTGCCTGGACTACTGTAACACTCTCTACATGGGGCTCCCCTTGAAGAGCACCCGGAGGCTCCAACTGGTCCAGAATGTGGCCGCGCGGGTGATTACGGGAGCGTCATGGCGCTTCCATGTAACACCTCTCCTGAGTGAGCTGCACTGGCTCCTGGTAGTCCTCCGGGTGCGATTCATGATGTTGGTGACCACCTTTAGAGTGCTCCATGGCTTAGGATCTGGATACTTACGAGACTGCCTTCTGCCACCAAGAGCCTCCCATCGGCCAGTATGCTCCCACAGAGAGGGGCTCCTCCGGGTGCCGTCGGCCAAACAATGTCGACTGGCGGCCCCCAGGGGGAGAGCTTTCTCTGTGGGAGCACCTGCCCTCTGGAATGAGCTCCCCCCGGAGATACGGACGATTCTGGATCTATGTACTTTCCGTCGGGCCCTTAAAACTTTTTTATTTCATCAAGTTGGGCTGGCCTAACTCTCCAATGATGTAATTTTAATTTGAATTTTAAATGGGGGATTTTAACTGTCGGGCCAAATTGCTTAATATAGTTTTAAATTGTTTTTAAATTTTGTATTCTATGTTTTTTATCTATGGCTGTTCACTGCCCTGAGTCCTTCGGGAGAAGGGCGGTATATAAATTTAAATATTAAATTAAATTAAATTATTATTAGCACATAATGCCTTAATATTTGTAAAAATAATAAAGGCAGGGTATAAATAAATAGATAAATCAATAACATGATCATTATTTGAAAAAGCATGCTGAAGGACAAAATAGCTAGCTTTTCCATTCATATCCTGCTTCTGGATAGAAGTGTTGTTGGCCACTGGGCAAGCAGAAGGTTCAAATACAACTCTTCAGATGGTTTTAAACTTGCTAGAGACAAATTATGTTTCTGTTGACAATATTCCTTCAAGTACAATCTGTTGAAGTGGGTGAGTGAGACAAAGAAGGGCAAGTGAAAGGCAGCCAAGCAAAAGTGATCGAGCAAGTATGCAAGAGAGACAAGGTGAGAAAAATAGGACAGGAGTGTTGAAAAATAGAGTAGGAGTGTGTAATAGATAATGGACTGGGAATACAGCAAGTGACATCAATGGTCAGGTGATGGGCTAAGAGACCAATGGATCAGGCAATAGATCAAGAATGGGTGAGTGAGTGAGTGAGTGAGTGAGTGAAGGAAATATAAGTGAAAGAGAAAGAGATGAGTGAATAGGAAAGACCAAGCAAATGTCATCAGTGACAAGCAAGTGAGTGAAATTTGGGGAGGGGGGGACTGCAGTA